AGTGAGCCACGGGCGGCCCTTGTGTGTATGTTAATTTTAAAGATTCAGATAAAACATTTGCTCATTATTGAGCTCAATCAGTGAGAATAATGAGACCGTTTGGTGAATGTCATAATCAGAGATTTATGGACGACAGTTACAGTTCTCTGTCAGTCTTAGCATCCAGTTTATTTCCGTGTTTTGTTTTGATTGCTTAGTGTCAAGAATATTCTGATTGACCCAGATAAGTATATCTAAATGTTTTACAGATTTATATAACAGCAATAGCTCACTTGATAATCTCAGGCTATTCTACAAGCCAATGAAATGGATTAGAACTTGGTATCAAACACATTTGACTCAAATGCTTATGGAAATTCTGAAATGCCTCTACAAAACTCTAGGCAACTATTTGTAAACCCCTGAGTCAGTGCAGGGGGGGCCCTGGGTGTGGGTCAGGAAGTGGGGTATGGCTGGGTATGAGGAGGGATGCATGCTCCTGGACTTCTCTGTGCCTCAGCTTCCTCATTTTCATGGGGATTATAGTACCTAGCTTACAGAATTGTGATGATTAAATGAGTTAATGTGTTTAAAACTATTACAACAGCGCCTGGCCCAAGAAACTGCTCCATTAAGAGTTTGCTCTTGTTACCATGGCACAGAGGAGCCTGGGCTGAATCCCTGACACTTTTCTGCTACCTTTTCTCACCAGGGGGCCTGGCTGTGGATTGGGTCCATGATAAACTCTACTGGACTGACTCAGGGACGTCAAGGATTGAGGTGGCCAATCTGGATGGGGCCCACCGGAAGGTGCTGCTGTGGCAGAACCTTGAGAAGCCCCGGGCCATTGCCTTACACCCCATGGAAGGGTAAGTTGTGTCTCAAGCTCTTGCGGAATCCCTCTTGCAACCTCTAGGGACAGTTCCCAGGCCACCTGGGCCAGACTTTATGGGGCATCCTCACAGTCTAGTATTAATAACATGGGCTCTGCACTCAGACACCCCTGGGTCTGACTCCCATCTCTGTAGTAACCAGCTGTGTAGCCTTGGACTAGTTAGTTAATCTCACTCTGCCTCTGTTTACTCATTTCTAAATTGATAATTAAAAATACCTACCTCATAGTTGTATGAAGATTAAATGAGATAATGCATTTTAAGTAGCATATAATGTACATTAGATAAGTTGTAGATGTGTGGGTTATTTTTATTATTAGCTGTTGGGTTGAGCTAACTGTTATAAACTCATAATAATTTTTGTTTATTATAGATCCAAAAATTAATATAAAAGTCTCTTGAAATGGATGTTCTTAGCCTCTAGCTTTTAAAAATTCAATGCAGTCAATTGAGGGGGTGTCTTGTAAGATCCTACAGTTGTGTGTCAGCTGTTTCAGAAACACTGGGGGTGTGTGTGTGTATAAAATATAACAGGCAGTGGAAGAGATTGTGACGAAGAAGAAAGTGCTATCCTGACTAATATTACACTGTATTGTCAATCCACAAGGGTCAGGAGTTTTCTAGTGCCTAAGATAGTGCCCTGCCCATGGCAGGTACTCAAAAAATGTTTTTCTTTACAAAATAAATAAATACCCTGCCTAAAAGCATTTAAATTCAAACCTTTAGAGAATACTCTGTGGACCAAACAATTGGAGTCACCTGGCTTAATAGATAAAAACCTTCTACATGATTATTATCCTGGTTACCTACCCATCCTCTGCTGCCTCCCTCTCAATTTCCCTGTCTGTTTCCCTAGTACCATTTACTGGACAGACTGGGGCAATACCCCCCGCATTGAGGCCTCTAGCATGGATGGCTCTGGACGCCGCATCATCGCCGATACTCATCTGTTCTGGCCCAATGGCCTGACCATCGACTATGCCGGGCGCCGTATGTATTGGGTGGATGCTAAGCACCACGTAATTGAGAGGGCCAATCTGGATGGGAGTCACCGCAAGGCTGTCATTAGCCAAGGTAAGGCCCTTCCTCACTTTCCTTCATCTTTCATCCTCCTTGCCCCATTCCTGCCCCTAGGAGCCTTGGCAGAGGATGAGATTTGTACAGTTGCCAGGCCCAGGCCCTGGGCCATGGCAGACCGTGTCTGGACTGAGGTCTTTCTGGACTCTCCCCAGGCCTTCCACATCCCTTTGCTATCACGGTGTTTGAAGATAGCCTGTACTGGACAGACTGGCACACCAAGAGCATCAATAGTGCTAACAAATTTACTGGGAAGAACCAGGAAATCATTCGCAACAAACTCCACTTTCCCATGGACATCCACACCTTGCACCCCCAGCGCCAACCTGCAGGTAAAAAACTACACGCCAGGAGAACCAGAGTAGCCTCGTGGGTGATGTGGCCTCTGGTATCCTTGAGAACCTTCCTTGCACTTGTCATAGTTGCCATTTCTTCTGGTGGGCAATCCAGAGCTGGCACCGACATGGGTTAATTCCCCCCTCTGCTGGACATTTAGGGTGGTACAACACTAAGACTCAAAAGAATCTGCTTTACTGTTCCCATCTAATGCATGCAAACATTTACCGGGCATTGCCTGTGTGTCAGGTACTCACATGCTAGCAGCTAGGGCACTTATAAAAAATATTAAATTAGTTTCTCTCTTTGGGGTGCTCACTCTCTAGGTAAACCCCTACTTCCTAGCTTTAGCGCAACTTTTACGAATCTTTGGTCTAACCTGACCCTCTTGCTGTGGGCTCTTTGAGCAGGAAAAAACCGCTGTGGGGACAACAACGGAGGTTGCACTCATCTATGTCTGCCCAGTGGTCAGAACTACACCTGTGCCTGCCCCACTGGCTTCCGCAAGATCAGCAGCCATGCCTGTGCCCAGAGTAAGTGGGTCTGGGACACCAGCCTCTTTGGAGTGCCTTGTACAGATGGGTAGAAAGAACAAGGAATAGGAGTTGGAGGGATTGCCTGTCATGGGGAAGAGCCAGACTCGTCAGGTAGCCCCTGGAGAGGAAGAACTTAAGAGGCTGAGGGATCTTATATCCAAGCTGAGGACTGAGGCCCAGCAGTAGTTGCTGAAGCCTCAGTGACACCACCCAGTCAAGTATAAACACCTGCAACCAGGCTTGTATATCATTCCACCAGGTAGGATGCCTTATCTGTAGGCCACAAGAGGGTTCCAGGCTCTTTTAGAAAACAAGGGAATGATTTCCTACCTCTTAACTTTTAGCCTCACCCTGTTGAAGACTTTCTTTCAGCTCTTATACCAGGGAGCCAAAATTAAGATTTCTGATGATGCTCTGTGTATGTAGGCCCTGGGTAAATATGTGTTTAACAAGTAAAAGATGATGGGATGCCCTGGTCTTGCCCTGAACTACTACTTTGGCTTCCTACGAGCTCCTGCAGGGTCATTGCCTTGAGAGGGTAGCCCTGGATAGCTCAGCACCACAGGTGATTTTTTTCTAAGAATAGTCCAGAGAGTAGTGATCAAGGTGTATGGTATGACCAGCAAGGGCTTGGGGTAACTCCTCACACATGTCAGCAGCTTTTCTTATTTACCACTGTGTTCTACACTGACCCTCTTAAATCTGGTTAAAATCGAATTCTCTTTTGATCTCGGTCCTTTCCAGATGTTGCAATTAGGGCAAACCCTCAGAGGTTTCATTTTTACACACATTGATTGAGAACCTAGTTTCATGCTTGGAGTTTTCCCCTTGCCTTCTTTTGTGCCCAGCTCTTCCTGTACTGTCTTAGAGAGATTCAAGAAGTTTCCCCAGGAGCTTCCCCATAAGGGTTTCCCAAATCTGGGAAGAAGACAGTTGGTAAAGTTAGGCAGGAAGTGCATTTCTGGGTAGAAAAGTACACTATGAAAGTATTCAGGTAGACCAGCCTAGGGGCAAAGGTTGGTGCAGAGCTGGCTGGGAAGATGCCATGTAGAGGAGTGGCCAGACCTGTGTCCCAGCTCTGGTGCTTTGTAGTCATGGACTTCTGGGCAAGTTACCTGATCTCTGTTAGCCTCAGGGTTGCTCATCTAGAAAATGGGAATAAGAGTAACATGTACCACAAAAGGTTGGTGTGAGCCAAGAAAAGCACCATGCTCAGGGCCTGGCAAGGAGTAAGTGCTCAATAAATAGTCATTATTGGCTAGAGTTGTGAAGAGGAGAGTGAGAGGAAGGGATTGGAATGATGGATTGGAGCAGCAGAAGCCCTCAAGCAGGCAGGAAGTCGGAGAAGTAGGGGCAGGGGGTCAGCAGTGGTCTGGCCAGGGCACTGGAAGAGATCGAGAAAAATGAGAAGAAAGAAAAGTTGAGATGAAGCTGATACATTTAAACAGGATGCACTTCTGGGTCCTGAGTAGAGTCCATTTCCATTTGATTCTAAAGTCTGATTCTGCCAGCACGGGCTGCCCAGGGCTCAAAGGGGGCCTGAGGATTGAAGAGTAGGGAGCAAGGGGTACCAGATCCCAGGAAGTGTGATTGAACCAGATGTCACACAGGTGAGCGTCTGTGTCTGTCACTGTTATTGGATTTAGAGCATTAAAAGAAGACCCCTTTCGGCCTTTGATCAGGTCTTGACAAGTTCCTGCTTTTTGCCCGAAGGATGGACATCCGTCGGATCAGCTTTGACACAGAGGACCTGTCCGATGATGTCATCCCACTGGCTGACGTGCGCAGTGCTGTGGCCCTTGACTGGGACTCCCGGGATGACCACGTGTACTGGACAGATGTCAGCACTGATACCATCAGCAGGGCCAAGTGGGATGGAACAGGACAGGAGGTAGGGCCCAGCGTGGGCCCAGGCCCTCAGGGAGGGCAGAGATTGAGGGGTGGAATCCACCCTCTCCAGGGTAAGGGCTTCCCATATCTTTGCCAACCTTGAGAATTGGTGGAGTTTGGGCATCAGAGCTGGGGTGGAGGTACAGTTGGTGATACAGCTTTGCTTCCTGCCCAGGTGGTAGTGGACACCAGTTTGGAGAGCCCTGCAGGCCTGGCCATTGATTGGGTCACCAATAAGCTATACTGGACAGATGCAGGTATGTACAGGAGAGCCGAGACCTGGCTCTCTGAGATTCCTCTTATTTAAAACCTTGGCCTCAGGTAGGAAGGGCCCAGTGTCCCTCCTGGACCGCCTCTGTCTTGATCTGAAGTCCTTGGTAGGTCAGGAGTGGCAGAGCTGTTGCAGAGCTGAAGCAAGAAGCCCACATCTGAGAGTCTGGCATTTGCCAGTCAAATGGCATCTACTTCTGCTATGTACCTGATGCCCAGGAACGTTTTGAGGCATTTCAGTTAAGGAACTCATGTCCTGTGGTTTTCATTTCATCACTGGCTAAACAGGTGGGTGTGGGAGGCAAGGAGAATGCCTTAAACCAGTGCTACTCAGAGAGTGGTCCCTGGACCAGCAGCATCAGCATCATCTGGGAAGTAGTTAGAAATGCACATTTTGGGGCTTTTCCTCAGACTTACTGAATCAGAATCTTTGGGGGTTAGGTTCAGGAATCTGTATTTTAGCAAACTTTCCTTATCCTTATTACACTAAAGTTTAAGAAACATTGCCTTAAATCATAAGACAGAATTGGTTGCTCAGGTCTGCGAAATCTTACTCTTACAAGAAATGGAACTGACCACTTCCTTGAATTTCTTCTCCCTGTTCAATTCACTAAATATCCATTGTGCATGTATCGCAAAATATTTATTGATATCTACTGCATGCCAGGCTCTGTGCTGGTCATGGAAGGTAAGAGGGTGAACGAATAAGACTAGAGTTAATATCTTTGTCCCTTATTTCTTGACAGGTACAGACAGAATTGAAGTGGCCAACACAGATGGAAGCATGAGGACAGTACTCATCTGGGAGAACCTTGATCGTCCTCGGGACATCGTGGTGGAACCCATGGGCGGGTGAGCGCTGCGCCTTTGGGATGAGCTCCCCTCCACAATACCTGAGTACTGGAGGGGAGCCTGGAGATTAGGGAGAGTGGCCAGATTTTATGGGTGCACCCAGAAAGCAAGAGCAGCTGTAGTGACACAGAGGCTAGTGACAACCCTGTCTCCTCTGTGGACAAGAAAACCTTTAGACATTTTTTATCTTGGCTTTTTTTTGGTTTGCTTACAAAAGTAACTCATTGTTAAAAAAAATTAAGTCCACAGACAGTGAAAATTCTCTAAAATCTCACTCTCTAGCAATAACCATTGTTAACAGTTTAGGGTATTTTTTCTAGATTTTTCTTCTAAATGTATTTTTTGTTCTTGGTGATGATGGTTTTGGTTTTACAAAAATGGCATACTGTTTTGTGACTTTTTTTGGTCCCTATTAGGCTATTTATGTTGTATGTCTTTCTATTTGAGTATATAAATCTACCTTGTTCTTCTTAATGGTTATATAAAATTCTGTTAAACTTAGGTACCATAATTACTTAGCCAAGGTCCCTATTAGGCTATTTATGTTGTATGTCTTTCTATTTGAGTATATAAATCTACGTTGTTCTTCTTAATGGTTATATAAAATTCTGTTAAACTTAGGTACCATAATTACTTAGCCAATCCAGTCAAGGAGACATTTCTTATTCCTCATCCTCACCTCCCCTCTTTCTTTATTCCCAAGTGGCCTTGTTCGCTGTGCACTCCTTGAGCTATGGGCTCTCCTTATATTAAGACCCTGGATACCTTTCCATAGTGATAGAAGATACGGGGTCTTTAGAGACAACTCTGAGCTCAGGGTGGGGCTAGGCACTGAGGCAGGAGGCTGGGGCAGCTATTTCAGGCAGAATCCCTAAAACCCACTGAGTATTAACTGGAAGGCTTGTAAAACCTCCCTTGCTTGTGCCCAGGTACATGTATTGGACTGACTGGGGTGCAAGCCCCAAGATTGAACGAGCTGGCATGGATGCCTCGGGCCGACAGGTCATCATCTCTTCTAACCTGACCTGGCCTAATGGATTAGCCATTGACTATGGATCCCAGCGGCTATACTGGGCTGATGCCGGCATGAAGACCCCCTCTTTCTTTATTCCCAAGTGGCCTTGTTCACTGTGCACTCCTTGAGCTATGGGCTCTCCTTATATTAAGACCCTGGATACCTTTCCATAGTGATAGAAGATACGAGGTCTTTAGAGACAACTCTGAGCTCAGGGTGGGGCTAGGCACTGAGGCAGGAGGCTTGGGCAGCTATTTCAGGCAGAATCCCTAAAACCCACTGAGTATTAACTGGAAGGCTTGTAAGACCTCCCTTGCTTGTGCCCAGGTACATGTATTGGACTGACTGGGGTGCAAGCCCCAAGATTGAACGAGCTGGCATGGATGCCTCGGGCCGACAGGTCATCATCTCTTCTAACCTGACCTGGCCTAATGGATTAGCCATTGACTATGGATCCCAGCAGCTATACTGGGCTGATGCCGGCATGAAGACTATTGAATTTGCTGGCCTGGATGGCAGCAAGAGGAAGGTAAGTGGCATTAAGGCATCTTCCCACAGCCCTGACAGGCATCAGGACAGCATTCCCTGGCAGCGTGAGTCCTGGTGCTTCTAGAGGCTTAGGGGAGAAACTGAGAGCTTTTAGAAAAGAGGAGAGGTTCAGGGGAGAGGCCCAGGGGAGCAGGTAGACAGGATTGGAGGCACGGTCCATCTAATTCTTATGGTGTTGTGTTAGTCTGTTTGTGTTGCTGTAACAGAAATACCTGAGACTGGGTAATTTATAAAGAACACAGGTTTATTTGGCTTATGATTCTGGGACATCTGCATCTGGCACGGGACTCAGGCTGCTTCTACTCATGGTTGAAAATGTCAGTCAGTGGCAGGTACAAGCAGATCACATGACGAGAGGAAGCAAGAGAGAGAGGGGAGGTGCTGGGGTCTTTTAAACAACCAGCTCTCATGGGAATGAGTCCTGGTGCTTCTAGAGGCTTAGGGGAGAAACTGAGAGCTTTTAGAAAAGAGGAGAGGTTCAGGGGAGAGGCCCAGAGGAGCAGGTAGACAGGATTGGAGGCACGGTCCATCTAATTCTTATGGTGTTGTGTTAGTCTGTTTGTGTTGCTGTAACAGAAATACCTGAGACTGGGTAATTTATAAAGAACACAGGTTTATTTGGCTTATGATTCTGGGACATCTGCATCTGGCACAGGACTCAGGCTGCTTCTACTCATGGTTGAAAATGTCAGTCAGTGGCAGGTACAAGCAGATCACATGATGAGAGGAAGCAAGAGAGAGAGGGGAGGTGCTGGGGTCTTTTAAACAACCAGCTCTCATGGGAACTAACAGAGCGAGAACTCACTCACTACCCCTCGTTCCCCAGGGAGAGCATTAATCCACTCATGAGGGATCCGCCCCCATGATTCAATCAGCTTCCAACACAGTCACATTGGGGATCAGATTTCCACATGAGTTTTGGGGGGACAACACATCCAAACTCTATCAGGTGTCTTCATGCATATTAGAAAAACATGCTCCTTTCTCAAAACAACTTTCCTTTCATCTGTAAGAAAATTTTCATAATATACTGATTTGGTTAGAACAAGACGCTTCTTCTGTCTGCCTAAAATTAGTGTAATATGAAAATGTATGATATCTATAATGTAATGGTACTCCCCCCCATAGATGTGCCACTTTTGTGAGTACACAATCTATTTGACAAGGTTGGAGGGTCCCATAAGCAGAACCAGGCTACCCAGATATTAGAAGTCAAGGTTTCTCCCCAAGGGGATGCTGCATGGTAGGCTGCATTTGAACTTCAACCTTCCAGGGAATTTGAGCGAGAACGGAGCTGTGAATTTTGCCTCCCAGGTTGTAGGTAAAGCCCTCTGGGGTCCCTCTCTTAAGCTTCATTATAAAGGGTCTTTCAAAGAGAGCTGCTTCCACAATATTAATTATGAATATGCATAAGACCTAATGCTAAGTGCTTTATGTACATGATCTCATTTAATCTTTTCAGCCACAGTATTATTATTATTTATTTTTTTTTTTTTTTTGTCTTTTGTCTTTTTGTTCCGTGTCCGGCAACGGATCGCAACCCTCAGTGTTGCCCCCGTACCGGACCAGGGACCGGCAACGGGATTGCAAACCTCGGTGTTGCTCCCGCGCCTCGCTCAGCCAGTGAGCGGGAACCGGTCCGTATGTGGGATCCGAACCCTCAGACCTAATGCTAAGTGCTTTATGTACATGATCTCATTTAATCTTTTCAGCCACAGTATTATTGTTCCCATTTTATTGATGAGGAAGCCGAGGCTTAAATCATTTAAATAACTTACACAGGGTCACACAGCTAGAAACTGGCAGGGCCAGGCATGAGCTTCAGTTTGCCTGACTCCAGTTCTCATAATGGCTGTACTAGAGTGATTATCCTCTCTCCTTCTCTCTCCAACTGGGCAGGCATGAACAGTTTCCTCATCTTCGCCAGGAGGATAGACGTACGCATGGTCTCCCTGGACATCCCTTATTTTGCTGATGTGGTGGTACCAATCAACATTACCATGAAGAACACCATTGCCATTGGAGTGGACCCCCAGGAAGGTGTGTGGGGCCCTCTCTTCCTACCTGGCCTTCTGTCCCTGCCCTACGGAAACTGCTGGCCTTCCTTTCCTACTACCTTTGCCTTCTGCTAAGAGCCTGGGGGCTCCCATTCCCTCTGGCATAGCCCCTGTCTCTGTCTGTACAGCACTTTCTCTTTGGATGTTAGGGCATGGTTTGGGGTCCTCTCTCCATCTAGGCCAAGAGCCATCCTGCTCCAGTATTCCTTCATTTTCCTGATCTCCTCTGCTAGGGCATCCAGGGCTCTCTCTGACATGCCCTGGTGCCTCAGAGCATGAGACAGCTGTGTGTATTCCATTGTGGGGTGAGGGTCTAGGCTGAGCCAAGCCTTCCCTCTGCAGGAAAAGTATACTGGTCTGACAGCACGCTGCACAGGATCAGTCGTGCGAATTTGGATGGTTCACAGCATGAGGACATCATCACCACAGGTGGGCTTTCCTCCCAGCCCAGGGACCACCTTTCTGGGCTACAGAGCTGGGGAAATATCCCATCTGTCTTAAAGCAGGAGCCAGTGTTCTTTTTTGACTCCCTGTAGGACTACAGACCACAGATGGGCTTGCAGTAGATGCCATTGGCCGGAAGGTATACTGGACAGATACGGGAACGAACAGGATTGAAGTGGGCAACCTGGACGGGTCCATGCGGAAAGTGTTGGTGTGGCAGAACCTTGACAGTCCCCGGGCCATTGTATTGTACCACGAGATGGGGTGAGGGCTGGTTCCATCACTTTGGGTGGCAGTGTGGGCCCACTCAGCTGGGACTCTGGAGGGGGCGAAGGTGGGCAGTAGAGAGCGACCCTGAGAAACATCTGAGAAACCCTGTGAACTGGACGTCACTATGGGCTGACCTCCTGGGGCTGTTTCACTCCCTGTGGCTTCTTTCAGGGTGGCAGAATAGTGTAGAAGTTAAAAGCATGATCCTTGGAGTAGGGAAATCAGGATTCAAATTCTTTCATCATGTATTAGCTGCATCACTTTAGGGCTAGTGTTTAACCTCTCTGATCCTCATCTTCCTTGCCTATGAAATAGATGGGACAGTGAAATGTATTCTTTGTGGCACTTGTGAAGATGAACTGAGATAATGCATGTGAAGTAGTACTCAGGGTATATGATGGCTGCTGGAATAATCAGCTAATATTCTTCCTCCCTCAGGTTCATGTACTGGACGGACTGGGGGGAGAATGCCAAGTTAGAACGGTCCGGAATGGATGGCTCAGACCGCACTGTGCTCATCAACAACAACCTAGGATGGCCCAATGGACTGACTGTGGACAAAGCCAGCTCCCAACTGCTGTGGGCTGATGCCCACACTGAGGTGAGAGCCCTGTCCCTGCTGCTTCCCCGAAGGCTGGGAAGATGGTAGAGGCCTGCCCAGGATCTCCACTGAGGGCTCCCAGTCTACTGATAACCACCCTCACCCTCTCTTTCCTCTGCAGCGAATCGAGGCTGCTGACCTGAATGGTGCCAATCGGCACACATTGGTGTCACCAGTGCAGCACCCATACGGCCTCACCCTGCTTGACTCCTATATCTACTGGACTGACTGGCAGACCCGTAGCATCCACCGTGCTGACAAGGGAACTGGCAGCAATGTCATCCTGGTGAGGTCCAACCTGCCAGGCCTGATGGACATCCAGGCTGTGGACCGGGCACAGCCATTGGGTAAGAAAACCCCCGGGGCTGTGAGTCAGAGGTTCTGGCTTTCTGGGGCTATCTCAACATCAGAGGTATATCTGGAGCACAAAACTCCTTTACAATCAGAGAGACAGTGATCTGCCCAAGCCCTCCAGGATCAGGCTGTGTTTCTTCTGGATATGGCTGGTACTACAACTGCATGATGCTGTCACCTTCAAAGGACTCCTGGAGACAACCCTATAGACACTCCTTCTACCTCACCCCTGCCAGGCACTGAATCCCGCCACATAAATCAGCAAGGAGTCAGCCACAGGAAACTAGGATCTTTGTAAGATTCTGGCAGTATTCCAGGCTGGGTGTGAAAACTTGTGCTTCTCTCTCTCATCACCAGGTTTTAACAAGTGCGGCTTGAGAAACGGTGGCTGCTCACACCTCTGCTTGCCTCGGCCTTCTGGCTTCTCCTGTGCCTGTCCCACTGGCATCCAGCTGAAGGGAGATGGGAAGACTTGTGATCCCTCTCCTGAGATCTACCTGCTTTTCTCCAGCCGTGGCTCCATCCGGCGTATCTCACTGGACACCAGTGACCACACGGATGTGCATGTCCCTGTTCCTGAGCTCAACAATGTCATCTCCCTGGATTATGACAGTGTGGATGGAAAGGTCTATTACACAGATGTGTTCCTGGATGTCATCAGGTATAGTATCAGTGAAACCTCCAGAGGACACAGACCTACTTCTGGTCCATCAAGGGTGAGGTTATGTTCTGCATTGACCCCTAAATGGACTGAGTGATTTGGCAGTGTGGATAGTGAGTTCTAATCGTGACTTGTTCACGTTGTAGTGTTATCACTTACAGCAGAGGGGTGTTTTTTTTTTTTTTTAATAAAGATGACCGGTAAGGGGATCTTAACCCTTGACTTGGTGTTGTATGACTTGTTCACGTTGTAGTGTTATCACTTACAGCAGAGGGGTGTTTTTTTTTTTTTTAATAAAGATGACCGGTAAGGGGATCTTAACCCTTGACTTGGTGTTGTCAGCACCATGCTCACGCAGTGAGCTAACCGGCCATCCCTATATAGGGATCCGAACCCGCAGCCTTGGTGTTATCAGCACCACACTCTCCCGAGTGAGAGTGAGCCACAGGCCAGCCTAAGAGCAGAGTTTTAAACTTTTGCTTGCTTGTTTATTTGTTTAAAGATTCTATGGAAGCCTAGTATGTAAAACAAACAAACAAAAAAAACAGATAAAGTCAGGCTGGGGACCTGGAGCCTTCCACACCTACTGTTGGGCCCTGAGGGAGCTCCAAGAATCTCCTAGGACTCATTGATGAGGAAGCCATGTAGCTAGTATCAGTATTGCTGTAAAGGAGCCCTAGCCAAATGCCAAGACTTATGGTGGTTTACAAAGTTGTTGTTTTTTGTTTTATTTGTATTATTCTTTAAATTCTTGGCCCCAACACAGCTTAGGAATATGATGTCCTGCCACCAGTAAGAGTGGTTTACCGTGGCAGAGATTCTCACACAGAGAAATGGGGGGCATTCCCCTTTGCTCTTCCTGAGAGGTGTATTAGAATTGCATGCTGGTGGTGCGGTGCTGGGGAGCGCGGCGGCACTCCCACCGAGGGTTCAGATCCCATATAGAGACCGGTCCACTCACTGGCTGAGCGCGGTGCGGGCACGACACCGAGGGTTGCGATCCCGTTGCTGGTCACGAAAAAAGACAAAAAGGAAAAAAAAAAAGAATTGCATGCTGGGGGCAGGTGGGTGTATGCAGTTTAGAGAAGTTCACGACACCGAGGGTTGCGATCCCGTTGCTGGTCACGAAAAAAGACAAAAAGGAAAAAAAAAAAGAATTGCATGCTGGGGGCAGGTGGGTGTATGCAGTTTAGAGAAGTTCCCCAGGTGTTTGTGACATGCTCCCCATCCTGAGGTTGAGTTCTATTGTGCTGGGTATGAATAATGTACTAATAGAGACTTGGTCTCTGCCCCTGTGGAGTTTAAAGTCTACTGGGGGTCCAATTATGGGAAAACAGAGTAAAGGAGTTTCAGTCTATTTCTGGTCAATCTGGTCACTCATCCATCCCTGGGCTGTCCCCAAGGCGAGCAGACCTGAATGGCAGCAACATGGAGACAGTGATCGGGCGTGGGCTGAAGACCACGGATGGGCTGGCAGTGGACTGGGTTGCCAGGAACCTGTATTGGACAGATACAGGCCGAAATACCATTGAGGCATCAAGGCTGGATGGTTCCTGCCGAAAAGTGCTGATCAACAACAGCCTGGATGAGCCCCGGGCCATCGCTGTTTTCCCCAGGAAGGGGTAAGTTTATGGCCAGCAGAAAAGAGATCCAGGGAAGAAGGGCCTGGCGGAAGAGATGCACTTGGAGGGTGCCTATATATTATTGGTATTGGGATGTTCCTGTATTCACTCAACCTCTGGGTGCCATCTTCCCATGCCTTGGTAATGATGGCACTGTTGTGTCTCAGGTACCTCTTCTGGACAGACTGGGGCCACATTGCCAAGATTGAACGGGCCAACCTGGATGGCTCTGAGCGGAAGGTCCTCATCAACACAGACCTGGGTTGGCCCAATGGCCTTACCCTGGACTATGATACCCGCAGGTGGGAATCTTGTCCCAAACAACCTCCTGGAAATAGGGCGGGCAGAGGAGTGGATGGTTGACATTGAACTAGCAAAAATGAAAAAATAGAAAAGAAAGCTCCTTGGTAGGTGGGCAAGAGAAAGCAGTGAGAAGGATGAGGGAACATTCTTAGAGTGGAGGTTGTTGAATACAGCCCTTAACCCTCACATGGGCTTCTTTGGCTGGTTTATGTGGGGTTTTTTGGTTTAGTTTTGTTTGTTTTTAAATGGCATAGAACTATGCATGGACATTGTACCAATGTCAATTTCCTGATTTTATTTCCATTTATTTTGGGGGTGGCTAGCTGGTATGGGGATACATACCCTTGACTGTGGTGTTATGAGCACCACACTCTAACAAACTGAGCTCACCAGCCAGCCCCATGGTTTATGTGCTTTTAATTTAAGTAGCTTAGCAGGTGTGTCCTTTGGCTGGACCACATCCCACTCCCCATCATCCAGCTAAGGGCTGATTCTTGTATTTGTTATTCTCTTGATCCCTTCAGGCACTGGATTTTGCAACTTCTGTCTAGTTAGAAAATACTGGAGGGCTGGAGAAGAGAATGAAAGGGGGTCTTTAGCAGTCTGTTGCCCTTTCTGCCCCCAGAAGGAAAAGGAATCAAATTTACCTAGAGCTTTGGCAGAATGTCCTCTTCTTTTAACCTCAGTGAGATCCACGTAGACTGAATTCTTTTCTTGATGACCCTTAGTAAGAATTTGGGCTTAGACTCTTGGGTAGGAGTCAAAGGTAATCAAGCTGCTGAAGATGAAGTTGGGTGATGACTCCTCTGAAGTCACTAGACTTTCTACCCCTCCCCAGAACAGCCCTGGCCTTCCCCCTTATGAGTCACCCCTTTCCTCTTCAGCTTTGGGTTTTACAGTGACCTCTCATGACCTGTCATCAAGGGTGTTTCTTGACTGCTCACATCACCTGCCAGTTCAGCGCAGGGGGAAAGATACCTCCTTAGGGGGAAGAGCTGGGCTCCCTGGCAAATGTTTTGAGCAGCCACCCTTCTCTCCTTTTCTTTGCAGGATCTACTGGGTAGATGCACATCTGGACCGGATTGAGAGCGCTGACCTCAATGGAAAGCTACGGCAGGTCTTGGTCAGCCATGTCTCCCACCCCTTTGCCCTCACACAGGTACTGGCTCAGGAGAGAGGTAACTAAACCTCCTTGACCTACCAAGGAAAAAGACCTACCAAACCTGGGGCTGAAACAGGAATTCTCACTGAGACATTTAAAAACCTTAATCCGTTTTTGACAAACATCATCCACCATGTCTGTATTCTGTATTATATATATCCTGCCAGCCAAAAAGATTTTGTCTGGCTTTACTTAATGATAAGCATGACAAGCTTTTTTCTTTCATACTGCAAATGTAAACTACAGGGTAATACCAAATATGGTTTTTCAATATACGAGTTTCCCTCCAGAGTTTCTGACACCTTCACTGCCCCTTCCCACCCTGGTTGAGAATTTCATGATCATTGCATTAGAAGGTAGCCACCCACAGAAGTAAACAGACGATTTGGGTCAGGGCTCAGAGCAAAGGATCCAGAAGAACAGGGACCTAGAAGAACCTTGAAATTTATGACTGTTTGCTAGGTCGGGAGCCACTCAGTCAACTGACTGAGGACTGAGTGTTAGGTGCTGGACAATCAGAGATGAATGGAACACATTCTTGTCCTTGAAGAACTTAATCTGGTGGGACAGATAAATGTGTAAACAAATTACCTTAGAGTGTCAAAACTCACTTGTAGAAGTGACTGCAAGGTACAGAACAGCATGGAGGAGAGAATGGTGAACTCTGTAAGGATTTGGGGAGATTCTTGGACAGTGTCATATCTGGGGATGTACAGAAGTTGACCTGGTAAATAAGAGATAAAAAGGGCATTTCAGCAGAGGGAATAGCACATGCTGAGGCCCAGAAACTGTACCAGAGTCTGATTGCTGAATAATACTTACTCTTTTTTGGGTTTCCCCATTGAGTAGCAGGACAGGTGGATCTACTGGACAGACTGGCAGACCAAGTCAATCCAGCGTGTTGATAAGTACTCAGGCCGGAACAAGGAGACGGTTTTGGCAAATGTGGAAGGGCTCATGGATATCATCGTGGTTTCCCCTCAACGGCAGACAGGTGGGTTCCTGGTCCTGAGCCTGCTTCCTTATCATCAGAGGGGTTGGGTGGTCACCCCAGGGACTGTTAGTGACCAAGATAATTAAGGCCATGGGAGAACCTTTCAATTCACATTTTATGCTCTTAGATCTTTTCACCCCCTTGTGTTTATACCCCTCCTGCTCTAGTGATCCTGGGAGTGGGGTAGCCCCAGATTTCCTTCTTTTTGAGAAGTTTAAACTGGGAGACACAGTTCTGCCCCAGACCAGACACTCATCTGCTTTGCCTCCAGGGACCAATGCCTGTGGTGTGAATAATGGTGGCTGTACCCACCTCTGCTTTGCCAGAGCCTCGGACTTTGTGTGTGCCTGTCCTGACGAGCCTGATGGCTGGCCCTGCTCCCTTGGTGAGTTGGACTGATGGCCCCTGGAATAGCAGAGCCCTTGGAAAGGCAGGGGATCAGCAGCCTCAACTTGGTCCTTCTGGGTGGGATTCCCTGGCCCTGCTCCCTTGGTGAGTTGGACTGATGGCCCCTGGAATAACAGAGCCCTTGGAAAGGCAGGGGATCAGCAGCCTCAACTTGGTCCTTCTGGGTGGGATTCCCCCTTCAGAAGGTATTATAGCGGAGTGATTGGGAGCAATGCATTTGGGCTTTGGAATCCCTCAGACCTGGGTTTGTCTGGCCTCTGGCATTTACTAGAACAGAATTCACGTCTCCTGGTTTCCAGATCCCTGCTTTGGGGATCATCAGTGAGTGACCTGTGCATTACTCTCTCTTCCGGACTTTTGTGGGCCAGTTATCTCATCCAGCTATTAATATTTAACCCAAGTTCTTTTTATTTAGTATTAAGAAGAGCCTCTAATGAGGATACCTGGGGTTAGGGCAGCTAAAAGATTCCTTTGTCAGATTCTTCAGCTGCTACTCCAGGACCAGATGTAGAGCTTTGGGGCTTCAGTGGCCCACTCCAGCCCTCTTTTCTCTCTAGTACCTGGCCAGGTGCCCCCAGCTCCTCGGGCTACCAGCATGAGTGAACAGAGCCCAGTGCTACCCAACACACTACCTACCACCTTGCGTTCTTCTACCATGCGGACCCACACATCTCTGGAGGAGGTGGAAGGCAGGTAAGTAGGTTCCATACAGGATTGATGGCCCTTTGATTCAAATCACCATCCCCCATCAGAAGAAAACCATAGTCCCAGCTTGATAAT